ATTATTAGCTGCGGTCAATGAAGAAGTCTCATTTGTAGATGAGCTAAATTCGAGAAAATGTTGGCTGTTTGGTCTTTAAACAAAGGAACAGGCCTGGTCCCTACTATTTCACAATCCTCTTGGAAATTACAAGTGGAGAGTTGCCATAAATTTCAATTAATGAATGAAATCTGGATGTATGATTACAATCTATGCTGATAGTCCTAGAATTAGTGCGCTGAATCCTTTCCTACGGTCTTAAAGTCGATGAAATGTTCGTTTTGCACCTTGCCTTCAAATCTTGTCGTTTCAGATATCTAAAGATGATCGAATTATTCAAAGGCCATTAAGGCCATCCGGAGATCACTAGAACTATCCGGTTCACGAAATGAGTAGACTGTAGCTCTGTAGTTGCCCAGTGATGGCAAAGTGCAATCGATGCGGAGTAAGGGAGAATGTTGCAGTCTGATCTTTGTTGCTGTCCATCAATCCATTGCTATATTTCTCAAACCAATTTCGCTGGACTACCATAATGAAAGAACCTTCCGCTACTCTCCACCTATTGCCGATGGCGGCTGATCCGGAATGCTTTGCTTAAATATGCTGAATGCTTCAATTGTTTTCCGTTCTCCTGTGATCAGTGCAAGTAGTGTATCATTGAACAGCATGATTGTTTTGCCTGTATAGGCCTGTGTATATTGTCTGCATATGCCTACGTTTTACGGCGAGAGTGCACCATTCGTTGAGGATCTGCGATTTTAAATTAAAGCAAGCACTCAAGAAAATAGAGCGGTGTATTGAACATACTTTTTTCCCTTGACCATCATTTGAGTGGCTACTGACAGGTATATAATACAATCTATGCTGATAGCTAGAATGTTTCACTTCATGTGTTATACAGTTCCAAAAGCTACTTTGTATGAGAATGAAAAGTAACGTCTTTCATTGTGGTGGTACAGGATGATGCAGCGAAATTTGGTTTGCAGGAAAAAGAAGGGTTGGAATAGGTTGGTATAGCGTGTCTGTTCAGGGAGCAGATTGTGCAGTAAGCAGGATCGGATTGAATGTTTTGTGTTCTGGAACTTTAATTTTCAGTTTTGGAGAAGAGTAACCTTCTGCCTGTTTTCTCTCATTAATCGTGCATTTATGCTATCAGTGATCAACTACAGTCTACCCATTTTGTGAATTAGATAGTTCTGATGATCCCCGGATAACCTTGATAGCGGTTAAATCTTGATGGTCGTGGTAGCTTTTAGATCTGCATGGATCTCATTACTAGCAGTTCTTTGTTATGATAGGTTTTTAACAGTTTCTTTATACATACTGTAATATGTATTGGGTTTTTTTTTTCATGAGTCTCGAAAATATTAAATATTTTTGTTCCTTGTTTGCGTTATAAAGAGTTCTTTGTTCTACTTCAGGGTTTAAATGTTTTATAAAAGTTGGTGTGTTTCAGTTCAACAAATTCAAGCGTAATATTGCAATGAATGCCCAGAAGAAAAAAAATCCTGGAAACAAAGGTTTGTTTGGAGGAATTTGACACTTCATAAGTGGTAACATTTTCATGGTCAGGTTTTTGTTTATTTGGTTTCTTTTCCAGAGTACGAAACTATAAAGCATTATGCTTTCTGATGCTAATGCAACATGCGGTGAACCTACAACCGCTCCTTCTCACGAAAAAAACTAAAAATGGCAACCGTTGAACCGTTTTGCCTGTTCCATCAGTTGATTAAGTTGTTCAGTAGTCTACGTGGTTCGGTTTTAGCTGACTTGACAAGAACTTTCTAGCGTATGGTCATTCTTAATTCTGTCTCATCACTGCAAATTACGATGACGAAGAAGTGATTAGATTATGTGAGCTTATAAGTTTTAATTATTTATAGACACCAGCGGTCTTGATGATTTAGACGCGATACTAATGGAAGTTGAGCTAGAGACTCGTAAGAAGGCAGTTGCAGCCGCAGCAAAATCAATAAGGAAGTCTGGAAAAGGTATGTAATTAAATTCAACAAATCTAAACTGGATAAGATATCTAAACTGACTGTTAGTTTTATTGCTTCCAAGCTCGGGATAATAAACGCACTTGGTCTTGCCTTAAAGCAGTCTCTTGTTTCGAGAAAAAATTTTTGCGAAGTTTCAGTAAATCCTACTGCCAGGCTACTATTAACTATTAATCAGAGAGTTTTGGGTTCGACTGCCATTTTGGATTTTCAAAATTATCACGTCAAGATCTCTTAAATAAGTGAATAAGTGAAAATAAATTATATATATATCTATATATATGGCGAAACAGAGAATTGGAGAGCAACCTTCAAGATTTGTTGAGAATTTAGATTAAAAATTCACCTAAATGCATCTGTTTTGTAGGGCAGGGAGCAAACGACAAACCGCCGCCTGCACAGACAAAATCACTTACGGAACAGTTTGAAGAAGAAGTAAGAGATTTGGTTCCAGTTGACGAACAGTTTCCTGATGGGAATTTCCCTGTTGGAGAAATATGTGAATACACAGCTAAAGTTGATGACCGTACTGCTGTTAATCGGATGACTAATGAAGAAAAAAAGGTATACAAAGAGTTTTATTTCAACATAATTTGATATTCATTCCAGATGAACTATATTTGCAGAGTTTGGATGCATCGTATGAGGAGACATACAATGATTTCCGTCGCGCTGCGGAGGCACATAGACAAACACGAAAATATGCACGATCCTGGATTAAGCCGGGAATGACAATGATTGAAATCTGGTAGTTTTGACCTCAACTTTCGATTTTTATAATACCAATAAATTTTCTTAATACTGTTTTATTACTCTTCATATCCAACAATTTCAAATCATCAAGTAAGGCTTGAAAAGCAGAGTACCAACCTTAAAAGAACCAGTATGTCGAGAACCACCTAAAAATGATGTTCCAATAAATTTAAAAAGCTATATACAACTTTGGTATGTCTATAAGGAATGCATATTATATAGTATTCCACATTATTATCATATTCACTTTATATAATATGATTTTATTGTTACATGAAGTTCAAAATTTAGTGAGCGTCTTGAAGCTCATTCACGTAGAATGATCAATGAGGATGGACTGAAAGCTGGGCTTGCTTTCCCAACTGGCTGCTCACTAAACAACTGTGCTGCTCACTACACTCCAAATGCTGGCGATACTACTGTTTTACAAGTTTGTTTTTTCAATTCCCCTCCTTTCGATCTTGACTAAAGATAAATCATGACTGATTTGTTACAGGAAAGTGATGTTTGTAAAATTGATTTTGGTGTTCACGTCAGTGGTCGCCTCATCGACTGTGCATTCACACTTCATTTCGACCCAAAATTCGATGATTTGGTAAATGCGGTGCATGAAGCTACTAACGCGGGAATTCGAGAAGCGGGTATTGATGTCCGTCTATGTGATATCGGCGAAACAATTGAAGAAGTTATGAGCAGTCACGAGGTAACTTTTCGCTGGTCGCTGTCACTTAGTTGTGAACACTTATATTAATTTGATATCCGCACTAAAAATAGAAGTGACGATATTAGATAACCAGGGAGTTTTGTTGACAGATGTTTTATAAATGCTTGGAAAAACTTTCTAAAAAAGACAAAAAGCCTCTGTGACCGCTTATTTAACATTGCAAGTGATACCAATTAGGTCGAACTGAATGGCAGGACTTACGTCGTAAAGCCGATCAGAAATTTGAACGGACATTCAATAGGACCGTATCGCATTCATGCTGGGAAAACTGTCCCGATAGTAAAGGTAAGATTCAATGAACTGGTTGCGACAAAGTCTAGCTTTTTTACTACTCATAGGTCCAGTTTGTTACCTAAGTCGTTTTTAGAAAATGGTAATGTTTTTACATATATTACAGAGTATATTATAGGGAGGCGAGCAAACAAAAATGGAGGAAAACGAGTTTTATGCTATTGAAACATTTGGCAGTACTGGTAAAGGTTATGTTCATGATGATATGGAATGCAGTCATTACATGAAAGATTATGACCTTCATTCTGAGCATATTCCACTAAGGTTTGTAATTATCACTAGTATGATTCCAATAATCAGTAACCAAAGAGAGGAACTCAAGGAAACTAGAGTATTTTCGAGATCATGCAAAATATTGGCTTAGTTTTTGTGAGATCCTTTGTTGATATCTGCAAGCATTTTTCCCGTTATAGTGGTCTGGATGTCACCCACTATTTGTCGGTAAGACTGGACATAATTTGCATGAATAAAGCTATTTGGTATACAACATAAGTACTATTTAAAAATTTCTGGTGTCAGGAAAGTTATAGTACGGAAGAGGTGATAAAGTAGCCTTAAAGATACTTAAAAGTTATAGATTAGCCCGATCGAAGAATTTGCTGAATGTGATCAACAAAAATTTCCGGACTTTAGCCTTCTGTCGAAGGTGGTTGGATCGTTTGGGAGAGACGAAATATTTAATGGCACTGAAGGATTTGTGTGACAAAGGCATCGTGCAGGCGTATCCTCCTTTATGTGATGTTAAGGGTTGTTATACTGCCCAGTGGGAACATACAATTTTGTTGCGGCCAACTTGCAAGGAAGTAGTTAGCCGCGGTGACGATTATTAATTGTGGTTCATTGGAGGATATCTATTCCAACCCATTTTTACAAGTGATTTTTTTTGCGGGAGAATAAATGATTCATATGTCTCCATACCACATTTCGTAACTGCAACCCTGTGCTGATCTCATAGGAATGATTCATACGTGCGCATGAGCTGACAATCCCTGTTTAAGATATGATCCTAAGATTAGTTGCGGGCAGTTTTATTTGCAACCTATAAACAACATGATGCAGTGAACACAAGCCGTTATTTTCAAGTATTCTGGGAGCCACGGATGCACTATACATATTCTAAGCAAAAAAAAAGACAAACCAGTTCTGCTTGCAATAATATACTACTTTCAAATACCCGTAAAGACAATAACATGCCTGATGTCATGTTTTAAAAGGAAAGCAGTACACTGCCATATGGGATTAATGCTAATAATCTAAGGTCCTTTAAAAAAGGCGTAAATCAATGGTAAGGACACGGCTATAAGGGTGTATAGAAAAACCACTTCAATAAGTGTTTGCAGTTTCATTTTTGATTCAATATTTTTCTCTGATTTATTAAGGAGATCCTCCATGTCATTACCAATGTAGACCACATTCGGTGTTTCTGCTTTTAAGTTCAGCTCTATTGCAATCAAGCGTTTGATTGCATCAAGTTCCCTCGTTAAAACTGTATTCTGCTCCTGTAGAAGGTTGACAATAGTCTCGGAAAGTACGTTACCAGTTACGTCTTTGTTTGATATAACAATTGCCATCCCTTCAGCGGCTTTTAAATGCATTGCTTCTCTAATGTCAGTGATAAATGCAGCCACCTGCAATGGTTATCTAGAGCAACTGGTCTCTAGACAATATTATTCAATATCTTAATATTGTAACAGCAATTTGTGCTCTTAATCTGGAAGGAAAGCTGCAGTTTCATACCTCATTCTGTTGTTTCTCAACCAGTGCCGTCATCTTTTTAACCAGTGGTGTCAACAATGCCGAATCTGGTACCAGCTCTTTCATCTTACGCATCCTAACCTCATTTGCCACCCAAGTGCCAACAATTCCCAATAATGCACCAAGTGTAGAAGCTATAATTGTCCACGTTTTTACTCGATCCGATCTGAAATACACAATTCCTGGACATACGCAGTACTCCAATCTGAACTGTTTCATTAGGATAGACAGGAAAAAAAAAACAAGAATATGGGAATAAGTTGTATGAACACACAACCAGAGTAATTTGGAGAACAGGATCAATATGCATCATCTCATTTTTTTGTCAGAAAGACTATAAAACTCACTGTTCTTGCTCCTTTGCTCGACTGGTCCGAAGAACACTTGATAATTCATCAAATGCAGCTTTCTCAGCTTCATCCGCCTTTCTAACTTCGGCAATTAAAAGCTGTTCACTTTTTATAACTGCATGTTCTTCAGTTAACAAACGCAGATACCTACAAGTTTTGACAAATTTACATATGTTAAAACAAGGAAATACTTGTTTTAGAAGACTTGAAGCGAACCAAAAATGCAATTTTGGTACATCTATGTATGTTTCAACGTATCCTACTATGTCAAACAGTGTCCTGGTTAGTCCTGAATTGATGGTTTACTAAAAGCAGAAAACAAACTTTTACCTACATATGAGCAACGATAGCACGACACCTATGAAGTCAGCCGGAGACTGACACCAATTTTAGGAAATACATTTGAAAAAGGAGAATAAAATAGCCCAGAACGAGGCAAGACACACTTGTCATCTCCACGAGAAAATCTATCCAGTTCACTGTGTATCTGCTTCATTCGAATTTGTAACGTATCCAGTTCATCACGTTTTTTACGTCGTATAACCTGAGCATCTTGCAACTTTTTTTCATTCTGAAATGGCTTTAATCATGTCAATTGCATTCATCAGCGCTTATGTCTTGTATAATTTTGTCATTTCAATTTTACATAGTTCTCACTGAATCTTCAACACTATGCAGCAGTTTCTAGTCTAAAGTGTGGTTTAATTTAGTATTAGGTATTGCAGAATAGAGACCACAGAGGAACAAAAAGGAATTTTATCAAAACAACACAGTAGAAGTAACTATGTTTACTGTCACCATAAAATCTGCACAAAAATGTTGGATTTCCAAGAAATATTTTTAAGAAATAACCTGTTTTAATGTTGCATGAGCTTCGCGAATCTCTGTAACACCTGTTACATCGTCAATATACGAGATTACCCCACTGATAAGTTTCAAGGACTTGGAAATGTCAGGCAGACCGGATAAATTTCGATACGTAATATGTCTAGAATATACCAACCGCGCACCATACAAAGGCAAAGGCATATCCGGTCACAAAAAAGTGTTTCTCTCAAATTCGATTCAAACAACCGCTTACAGAAGTTTTCCACCAAACATTTTATTTTATCTGGAGGCATTTTTATTTAAAAGAGAAAATACAGAGCATCATAATATACCTTAAGATGACACGAACCATTTTGCCTAATTACCGAAAACCCAACTACCTAGTATGGAATGCGATTTAAAGACACACAACCTAATTCGAGTACTAACTAGTTTTGCCTACAGTAATGAAACACGTACTTCTAGTGCATTCACTTTTATGTAGTTTCCTTAACAGTGCTGTCGCTTTATATTCGATTTGTATTCTGTAAGATAATCATTGGGATTAATCTCTGAGTTATTGGAAAAAGGGAAAAAAGTTTTAACTACTGCTTGTTCCACCACTTGAATTATTTGCTGACAAAATACTGAGAAACAAAGGTAACAATGTGTCATAAATGTCGATAGGAAGACCGAATATTTTAGTTACTTATAAACTAGACAAAAACCCTATAAGGTACTGTTATAAGATACGATGTCTGTCTAATCTATATTTGAATTATTTCTGGAATCACAACCATAAATCAAGAAATAAAACTTCTCCAACTTCTCAAACGAACAAACCATAGCCCCAAATTGCCGATCTTCCGTTTCAAAAGATGGTCGCGAAATGAAAACAGCAGAAGTTCTGATGGGTTGTTGCTTGTTGCACTTGAAGTACAATGGCGATGTTGCTGATGCATGTTGGAATATTTTCTGTTCGGTATACTGCAGCTGCTAATGCGATCTTTCTCATTCCAGGATCTGAGTATTGTCGAAGTCAAAACTCCATCTAATTTATGTGTTGCAATGAATGAACTATCATTACGAGACTTTTGCGCTTCAATTCTCCCATTTCTCAGCATTTAATTAGAGAAAAATTATACAAGTTTGAACAGAACTGATCTGTCCCTCACTAAGCAAACATTATTTTTGAAAAGAATTTATTTGTACTGCATACATTGCAAAACAGTATATCTGCTTTTAATATCGCACAGTGAATCCAGATCATTTTTCTAACCTCTTTAAATATAAATAATAGATCATTTAACATATGCGTTTTTATGATATTTACTATGGACGATGTCAACCACGTGATGTTTGGTGAAAAAATGAAGTCACATTCCGGCATACTGTACTATATGTTCTTTTTTTGTCTTAGAGAAGGAAATAAAGAAACTTCCTTTTTCCAACTTCCTTTTTCTTAACTATGTGTACTTCAAGAATCATATACAGGATCAGGCAACAATCAAAGCTGAAGTCATCATTTTTTAACGGAAGGGAATTCCAGCAATTTAATATCATATTATGAAGTATACGTCTCCACATACTTTCTAATGCCTTATAGAAGTCATTTTTTTGAACGCAAAACAGTGGAAGTAAAATTGTCGCACTGTTTAAATAGAGATGAGAATATGATTGGTGCAGATGAGTTTGTACGTTAATATATTAGCTCTTAAACCAACTGTGAGCTCTCACTTTTGGAAGAAAATTCTTCAAAAAAACAAATAATGATCATCAGAGCTCGATTGCTGCTGAAGTTCACCTCAGCTTTTATGACGTTTTTATTTAATCTTACCTGCTGCAATTCAGACAATAGTTATTAGACAACAGCAATGGGAATAAGAAAATTTTTGAAATAGTGGCCACTTACTGTGTTAAGTAAATTGAAAATTTTCGCATAAACTGTAGTGAAAGAAGCAGTTATATTTTTAAACTAAAAACCTTGAGGAATTTAAATTATTTGACTTGGAACAGAATGAAGTGGAGAATGGAATGAAGTAGCCAGTCAGTCGATACACATGCACTACGATTCGTCAACATGCCACCTTATTCAAAACTTTGATGAAGCTGAATTCAACTTGACAGTAGTGAATGTAGAAGGTTGAGTTGACATTGTTGCAAATTCTGGAATCAAAGCAGTCCTAAGTGTACAGCGAAATAATAGTGAGCAGAATCAAGGTCACAACGAAGCTACTGACAAGCGAGAATGAAGTCCGAAGATAACCGTGAATGTATGTAATAACGAGCAAACCAACAATAAATCAAAACATTTGCGCATATTTCGAGAAGATTATATAGACAAATTAAATTCATTCTAGCACAACAAAAAGTAAACCCCATTCTTTGAAAAGACTATTGGATGTTTGTAAAACATGAATGCCACTTTATCATTTATCACACGGAAATGTCCTTATCGAAGTTACCTTTCCATTGCAGTCTCTATTGCACAGTAAGACCTACTGCTTGTTGTCCCAGAATTGTGGAATTATAATTTCCCGCAATTATTCTATGCAGTAATATCATTGATAAGGCAAGACAGGACTGAATAGTGAAGAGTTGTTCACTTGCCTTGCAACAATTGGCATGCTGCTGTGATGTGTCACTTCTTTTATTGTTGCCGCCGCTACTACCACTGTTACTATCATTGTTGTTCAAAATCAACAACTGTAAATGAAGTGATCAAAGT